CTGCTACCCATTCCTTTCCTTTGGTGTCCTCTAGTCCTTCTATTAAGGGAACTAATGAAGAACTTTTCTTGATGCACCTTCTCCACCTCACTCATGCTTTTATAGACCTCTATCCTGTCCCCCCTCAGTCTCCTCTTTTCTAAGCTGAAAAGTCCCAGTCTCTTTAGCCTCTCTTCATATGGGACCTCTTCCAAACCCCTGATCATTGTAGTTGCCCTCTCCTCTCCTCCCCTCTCTCTCACCTCCTTTTCCCAGTCTCCCCGAGTTTTGTTCAATAAAGAGAATCTATTTTTGACCACACGTTTTCTTTATTTTGTAAATCAGGAAGGGGGGCTAGGGAAGGGTAAGTGAAAGGAGGTGAGGGAGGAATGGGGTACGAGCCCCCGATGGGGAGGACTGGGCTGGCTCTGCGGGCGGAAGCTCTCCTGCAGTCCCCCAATTACCCCCTCTCCCCAGATGGCAGCCTGCGGCAAGAGCAGCCGGTCTGATGGCCGAATGCTGTGATGTGCCCAGTGTGGGCACTCCACGCCAGGACTGCTTTGCAAGCGGGGCACCCCTGAGAATGGTCTGTCCGGGGTGGGGGTCGGGTCCCTTTAAACACAGCCCTCGGCTAGCCTGAGGCAGCAGCTCCACGCTAGAAGTCCGCACCTGATGCCCTGCCGGCACTGCTTCCGGCCATCCTTAATCCCGGTTCAGGGTCCACTTAATGTGGACATGCTAGTTCTAATTAGCAAAACGCTAATTCGAACTAGTTTTTTAGTCTGGATGCATTAGTTCGAATTAGCTTAGTTTGAATTAACTAAGTCGAACTAAGTTAGTTCGAATTAGCGCTGTAGTGTAGACATACCCTCAGAAATCTCTGGTGAGCTACATTCATGGGCCAGTATGATTTCAATTAGCAAGATGTCTACTTATCATGGGTGTGACCAAGTTTCCCCAGTGTCCCATAAAGTTTGTTTACAGCCACTAGTCCTGGCTCTCAGTGTTCTGTGCTGCTATTTAGCTCCAATGTACCCCTAAAAGTCTAAGAGCCTAATAAGCAGCAGAAGTGTTGGAAATGCTGCTAGACAACATTGACCTCCTATGGTCAGGTGAACAATAAGCTAATACTCTGCACAGAGGTATAATTATCACATTCATCTCTAGTTAATATCTGTCAATAAATGTTTGACTGTTTTAAAGATAATCAGAAGCCAGCATGCTTCTCCATCTCTCCATGCCAAAAAGTCAAAGTAATAATTTTTATCTATGGAGTTAGCCAGTGTTTCAATTTTGGCATATTCCCGGTTGGCCCTTTTCCAAGACAAAACTTTACCTTTTGTCCCTGGGACTCTGAATTTGCCATCTCTTGACATTTTTCTAACAAAGGCAATATGTTAGCATAGTATATCTTCCACCAGAGTTGAAGAAATGAGAACTGATTTGGAGATCCTGAGGTGGCACCATCATGCATAATTGTTCTTGTCTGAGGGTTGTACGTATAGTGCCATGGCTTTGTTGACCCCAAAAAATGAACGACCTTTGCATCTCTGCCAAAACTATGGAAGACACACAAATACATAATTATGATATAGGAATAAATACATTCCGATTGGCATTTCATAATAAATGTGTATGCTTGGTGCTATAACATCTTGCAGCAACTATCAGGACTAGAGATGTTAAAAATGTGGTTAATCAAGTAACCATACCTGCTGAAGATTTCAGTAGTTACATGCAGGGGGAGGTAGAGGGGAAGAGGGAAGAGGCAGCTCCCCAGGAGCTGGTGTGCATGTAGAGCTAGTTTTTAAGCTGGCTCCTCAGGCATACTGGCTCCTGCCTACCTGCTCATTGGTTTACTGTGTGAGCAGTTACTTTCACATCCCGACTTTTACAAATTAATAAGGTCTAGGAAATATCACCAGAATTGATCTCAGTTATGCACAGTTGAAAACTGTGCTGAATTAAAATTGTATTCATTTGAATTGATTTATTGCTTCCACTCACTGCCCCCGCCCCCAGCAGAAACAGCATTGCCATTTGTTTCCTACTGCTGAGTCCAATTGAAAGTATTCAGAAACTCATTGTTTCTTCTTGAACATTCCTCTCCAAATTACTTTTAAAAAAATGTCCTGCGTCAGTGTTCTGTGCTGTTAAGCTCTAATTTACCCCTAAATGTGTTGTAATATCCCAGTAATCAATGGCAGTGCTGGTAACGTTGCTAGACAATATTGACCTCCCATGGTCTGATACGGGCGGATAGAGAGCAGGGCGAGTGGGGCGGCCACCCTGGGCCCCGAGCTTCAAGAAGCCCTGCGCATGCGCCATGGCGCCACCACGCATGTGCCGTGGCAAAGGGGAGGCCCCGCGAAATTCTGCTGCCCTGGGCCCCGCAAAATCCTCATCTGCCCCTGGTCTGACAAATTCTCTGGTTTGGCACTGGTCAGGTCCCAAGGATTCCAGACTAGAGAGGCTCAGTCTGTACTGTTATATAAGCCTGGTATTCTGCATCAGACCAGATGCAGAAGACTCATTATTGTACTCCTACTTCTTGTCACATTAAAATCACATTGTGTGTTCTTCTGCTAGATTAACTTCTAATCAACAAGTTTCAGAATGGGTCGCTATCCTTTTCTCTTATAATTGAGCAAAATACTTTAAAGGATTGTTTAGCATTGCCATCATCCATCAGTAATACTACTTACTGTTTGAAAGCAGGAACATAGGTGTAAATAGCACTACTGCTTAAGTTGTAGATAAATGGTAAATGTTTGCCAATATCTGTTGTTGCCCAATTACTGAAGAAACTGTTTAATAAGCCTTGATCACCACCTAGAACATAATTTAAAAAAGCATTAAAAAACACACAACAAAACACACACATTGATCTAAGCTACAATTTGTCCAAACATTTAATGGCTGAGAAAATTCAGGGCTGAAAAAAGAAAACAAGCTGAGTACAACCAAGACACTCTGCTCTAAAACAGGAGTTATTTGAATCATACAGATTTACAGTCCTGTGCAGTGTCCTGGGACCACAAGCCTGCATGTGTATGTGCAGAGTAAGTGGAAGCTGGGCATTAATTTCTTGCTGGTCTCCAAAGTAGATGATTGGAGCCTCATCTCTAACTCCAATCTCTGGCTTGTGGGGGAGGTAATCTAAGAAAGAGCCAGTGTCTCCTCTCCCCCGCCCTACCCCGCCCCCACACAACTCCGAGTACTGTTTCTGCGGCTGCACAGACACAGCAAAAACAGTCTAACCCACAAAAAATCTGTGGCCTCTACAGTAATTTAGATTAATCTTTTAGACTCCAAAGAGGAAGTTACATGAATATTCACTGCTGTCTAGCTTCCAAAGGCCAGCTTAAGTATGAGAAGAAAAAAAAAAGCAAAATATTCAAATTGGATTAAAGTTGCCTGTAAGCAGCAGCTAGTCAAAAGAGACAACCGAGGTGATGGTGGGTTGGAAGATAAGGAAATAGAAGCAATGGTGTTATACTAGTGTAACTGTTTGCAGAATTAGGGCTAAGGACATTAATGAGCAGGTATTTGGCTAATCATGTGGTCGATACAATTCAACTACATAATTAGTCAATAAGGGCAGGCACTTTGCAGAGCCAGAGCAAGGGCAGCTCCCGGATAGGTTTCTGGCTAGGAATGCAGCTCTGCCTTTTAAATATAGTACTAGTGGGGCAGTTCTTACTGCATTTAAAAGGCAGAGCCACAGCTCTCCTGCTCCCAGCTCACGCCAGCTCCAGCAGCACCTGTTCATGGTTGCCCAGACTGGCTGTGGGCAAAGGCTGCCCACAGCAAGCCTGGGCCATTGCAGGCAGAGGCTGCTTTATGGCAGCCTCCTCTACCTCACCCTGTTGTCCCCCCCAGCAATGTCTCCGCGGTGCCACCTCTATCAGAAGCAAGGCATGGTGGGGGGGAAAGCAAGTAGTTGAGTACTCAACTTGACTACCCAATAAACTTAGGCTTATTGGAGAGTCTAGTACTAGACTATTTGCTTACATCCTAATTAGGGTCTTGACTAATTATACTTAAAGTTAATATAAATACATAATAAAATTTTACAGCAGG